TTGGTGTAAGAAAAACAGTACTCAATGCTAAACAACAGAGCTATTACATATATATTAATAAAAATACATAATACCCCACACTGACAATATGACTTGGAGTTTCATGCCAAATGCAATCTTCAGGTACTGGTTGGTGTTTATAGTTTGGTTAATCAAAACTGTAAATAACAACCACATAAAGACTGCATAAATCATGAAACTACGAGTCATGCTGTCGGCATGGGGTATTATGTATTTTTATTAATATATATATATATAGTACATTTTTTTAACTTTACTATATGACATTATTAAACAATGACAATAAAATAAATTACATGTCTTTATATTCTTCTTAAGCTTCGAATGAGAACCCAGGAACTCAATGCAGCCGAGAAACTTGCTGTAAAAGCTTTGGAATTGCCAATTAAAGTAAGTTTGCATTATATTTCTTGATTATTTTGGTGAACTGATAACAATTATAAGATTATGCTTGTGTTCAAGAATCTCTTTAAAGTATAAATTAAGAATTAATACATAATTTTTTTTTATTGCATGACCTCTTGGCCATAATTGGTTTAATAATCTTTTGTGTCAAATAAACTAGAAAATTAACTTCTTTTAATATTTTCAAAAGCAGCTAATTTTACACAGCTAATTCACAAAAGTAAACTTATGTATACAACATTCCATATATCTGAGCCAAACAAGACATGAGCATTACCAGCTTAGTGTATGTCTATCTTGTGACCTATTTGATACAGTTGGTTAAGTTGAAATTGGTTTTATTGATGTCAGATGTCAAAATTCTAAAAGAAAAAATCTTAGCACTTTAAGTTGTTATTTAATTGTTACAGCCAGGCATGGAGGCATGAAGTCAAAATGCTTATTCTCAAAGTTGAATTGATTGACCTTTGCCATTGATACTAGTTTTATATTTGGAAACGAAGCAATACCTCAAGTGAGCAAAGGCCAAAATTTATAACTTTTAAGCATTTAAGAATATTTCAATGCCTAGAAGAATGTGGAATTTGTTAATTTTAACTTGTCAAAGAGAGTATCTGATTTTAAAAATCAGAATAAATGTCTTCAAATTCAAAGATTTCTTCCAGAAAAATGTTTTATTTTGTTTGTTTTTTTTGTTTGTTTGTTTGTTGTTTTTTTTTTAAGCATTTCACCCCAAGCATAGCAGGATGCCACTAACATGCAAGGGGTTACAGAGAATGGGAGCAAGAGTAAAGAGGCATGATAGAGAAAAGGATGGACAGGGAATATCAAGGCATCTGGAGATGTCAATTGACATTACATTTGAATAATTGGAGATTATAGTTATCAGGGAAACAAGTAATAGGAAGGGAATTCCACAGACGGGAGGTGCGAGACAATGAAACTATTGGAGTAGAAGAGACAGCCACATTTAAAAAACACAAGAAAAAACAACATGGGGGTGGGGGTTTCGACAGTGAAAGGGTGGGACCAAGATGCCAGCCTAGTAGCATGTTTAAATTCATGCAGTCTGGGAACTAGCAAAAGTAGCTCATTGGAGGAGTTACCGTGAAAGTATTTGTAGAAAAGACAGAGGGAGGTGACAGCACATCTGTGAGAGAACGACTGTAGATGAGATGCCATATTAGGGCCAATCACATAGTTGCAACCAATCATATGGAGAGAGAAAAAGAAAATGGAATAATCAGAAAATGTTGGCAGACTTGTAAATTCATATAATGTTCAGAGCTATTATTTGTACAGGTGAATGCATGTATAATGACATTAATGACTGATAAGAATACAAGATCAAATCTTTCATATCTAAACTGCTTGCTTCTTCATATCTGAACTCTGTCAAATTAACATAGGCCAAATCAAGTATTTGTGGCTTGAGGTTTTTCTTGGAACATTTTATCTTCTTCTTGCAAGGTTGTGAGGGATTCTCCTCCCTTCATAGGTCAGGCAAGCATTTATATATCATCTGGTTGTTTTGTATGTGTATATTCTAAGTTCAGCTAGGTTCCTGTCTTGTTTATATTGGTGTATCCACAGACACCCATTGAAGCCCAATTCTACATTTAATATCTTTGAGGTCAAATTTCTAGGTCAACCCTTGGGTTTCCGAGGTCTTTTGACTTTCTGGGATGACACCAAGTACAAGACATACATAAAGAAGGATATATGCCTCTCAACAGGAATTGAAACTGTATTTCTTTTATATCGTAGCATGCATTTTTTCCCCATTAGGCATTGCAAAAAGCCATGTTTAATTATCCTATTTAAGAAATGCATGTCTTTCATTGGGGGCCTTATCAATGAGAGATGTGCATTTCTGAAGGTGGTTTCCTAAAATATATAACTTATAATTGCCCTGAATAACTGCTGGCCTTACAAGATCTCGAATGAATGCGTACACTATAAGACAAAATGTGAACCTGAAAGCAAAACCATCAAAAGAAGGTTCACTTTCTTAGGACATAATGAAACTGCCTAAATAAACATCAGTGAGAAAAGCTTTAGAGAAATGCTTCAGACCATCCAACAAGAAAGGGGATTTGCCAGAAATTTCATGCCTAAGGACAATTAAAGCTGACCTTACAATATAAATATTCTACTTGACATTACAAATCCATCATCTCACATTCCACTGGAGAAATTAATGTCGGATAGGTGTAGTTGGAGTCAACATGAGATTGTTGATAATTTATTTTGCAGTAGAGTTAAAAAAAAAAAAAAAGAAGACATATGTGATATATATACAGAGTGCAATGGGTAAATTGTTGCCATTTTATATTTTTAATTCCGTGCATGGGTATCTTTGATTTTGTCAACTGCACAGTATAGTAGAGTCAGTTGGGCACTGTCTATGAGAAAATGATGCAATTCACTTTGCCAAAAATTTGGAAAACGCATGCTGTACTGCTTGGCATTTACTCTGGAAGCTCTAATACAAACATTTCAGAGTGTTTGGGCGTCAATCTGAGGACAGTGCAAAAGAGTTGGATGAGTCTAATGGTGATTATGAAGGTTTTTGGATTGTTGATTTGTGATAGAAACATTATGGCTGAATTCATCTTCCAACAGGGCCTCAGACTCAACATGGAAACCTACATCAAGTGCCTTCAGGAGGTAGTGCTGCTCTGGGTCAAGAGGGTGGCTACTGGAAGACCCTATGTCTGGCAACAGGACTCTGCACCATGCCACACAAGCAGAAGAATCCAGACATAGCTGTCAGACAATTTCTGGATCCACATCACCCCTTACATCTTGTCACCTAACTACCCAAACTGCAACTCTCTTGGTTATTATGTGTAGGGTGCAGTTGAGCAAAAGAGTAACAAAACTCATGTAAAATGAATGATGAACCAAAGTCAAAGATTATGGCAGCATTCACCAACTTAAACAAGGAGACTGTCCAGAGGAGTTGCAGGAGATTCTGAAGTCAACAATTTATCTATTGCACTATATATATATATATATATATATATATGCAAATTAGATTATATATCAGTGGGAAGCTTTCTACACTCAGGATGTAGTTATCATTCCTTGACAATACTTGTGAGAACTTTACATGACACAACAACATAGCATCAATAATAGGATATCTAATGACGTTAGAGGATTGAGAGCTTGTTGAGTCTTAGATGAGATGTTTCGCGCCATTGGCAAGAGTCAAGAAATTGAGTGACAACAAAGATAGAGGAGGAGTAAATGACATAACGGATTTATTTCTAGCATCAGCCAATTGTAAGGTCGTAAAAAAGATCTTTGTAATGATCTATCCAAAGATGCTAGATGACTTGACATTTGAAGAAATTACCAACACTGTACAAACAAATATACATCCAAAGAAGAAACTGGTCATAGCTGAGAGGATGAAGTTTCTTGAAATCAACAGAACCCAGATGAAACCATTAGACAGTATATTCACAGGCTAAAAGAAGCATCAAGGTACTGGTAATTCAAAAAGTTGAGTACAGGACTATTGTCTATACAAGAGGAATTAATACAGTTAAGAATTGAAGAACTGTATGACACCTCAAGTTAGTACAAAATTTTAGAACAACTTCAAGTCCAGAACATGAATATTGAAATGAATTTTGAATTTTTACAACAGCTAGAATTAATTCAGAGATTTAATACTCCTAAGACTAATGTGGAGACAGACATACACTACTACAGAGAGTTTATGTAAATGTTTTTGTTTTGTGACAAAGAACATGAGATGAATAGAGTTGGTTGGTTTGGCAATTTAAGTTTTGGTATCAGTTTCCATATTTTTTTTCCCTTGATACCACGGTTTTTGATTTGGTTTTTAATTTACTATTTTTGCTTTCTAAAGAAGCCATTCATTTTCTTGTGTAATGATAGCATTTCCAGTTGATATCTGATTTCATTTGAGAGTGATAAATATGCAACTTAGTCCGTTCAACTCGCAAATTCTTGTGTATTTCTGATCCAATCTTAAAAATATTCATATGGCTGGCAAGTAAATAAAATAATCTTTCTAAATATGTAATTTGTATGTGCTTTTATTCATTGAATTATTTTTTTTACAGCGAGTTAAAATGGTATTTTGCTTTGAACAGCTGAAAATGTGAAATATAATTTTTTTTTGAGACTAAATTTTTACACGTTACATTGTTTTGCAAAATCAAAGTGACCAATCTTTATCAATATTCTTGAAATTGTACACTCAATTAGAAGACACCTTAAACTACAAGCAGGAAGATGTTCATTTCTTCTCTGACCTGAGAAAGCAAATTCCTTCAAAAATTATAAAGTAAGCAAAAAAAAAAAGAAAAGAAAAAAGCAACTGAATAAGTGCATGGTAAAAGAACTTTCAAATTATTGAAACTACTGTCTGACACTGACTAGTGGATAAAAAAGAATAATTTTTACTTTAGGTTTAAAAAAATAACTTGCAGTTTTGAAAATATACACATTTTAAAACTAAGATGATTAAATTTACTTTGTTTTTTTTAATATCTAATTTTAGGTGTATTCACTAGATAGAAACATAATTTTATTTGTAGAAAACAAACAATACACTAGAAATTTGCATATCTGGAAATATACATATTTTAAAAGTGAAATTAAGAACTATTTTAATTATTCTTAATATCTAATTTAGGTGCATTCTTTAGATAAAAAACAAATTTATTCATAAAAAAAAATTCTTCATTCATTTTTCTTGTTTACAACAACTTTATTTTGTGATTGGTGTACTAGCTTAGAAAACCCTTACAAAAATTCAGACTTCATAAAATTTAGCATTAAGTCAAAACTAGTAACTATTTTTATTTTTACTCACTATTTTGTTGCTAACTTAATTTTACCACTAAAATTTTTTTGGGGGGTGGGGAAACTGAAACAAATAGATTTCAGACATTATGTAGTATTTCGTTATTTTCTTCTTCATTTCTTTTGCAAACAAACAG